GCGGTTCCATGTTATAGCGACCGATTCTTCACTGTTATTAACTCATGTGTAGTGAACAGACATTGCATACAGGCAGAAAAGAAAGGTTACCCTTCACAGACCTGGAGTCTAAGATCCCTTTGACGCTTCAGAGTATCAAATAATTTTATTATAAAACCTAAACCATTTATTTGCCATTCACTTTTCTTAAAAAAACAAACAAACAAACAAAAAACCATGAAAACCAAACATGAGAATAAAATAAACATACCCAAGATTCACTAGGCCTTGTAGGACAGGAGGAAGCCCCGGACAGAAAGCCTGCGAAGGCTTCCTTGCACCTAATGTCTGAGCTTCCCCACCATCCTCAAGTTCCATGTTTTGTGCCCTTACTAGGCAAACCTTGAAACTGTCTTTGGGTCGGGTGTGCTCTTTCATTGCAGCGTCTGTTCACCCCAGAGCACAACCCTCGATCCATGTGCAGTCTCCATGTTCACGTATGCAAGTTGTTTCAGGACAACCCAGTAGCTGTAGTGTTTCTTTTTATCTCTGTAGTGTCATTGACAGAGTCCCAACCCTTAGACAGGCTGGGCAAATGGCAGCCCTGTCCAGGGAGCACATGCGGGCAACTTGCCCACTGCCTGACTTGTTCCTTGTTCAGTCTGGACACACCCCACAGTCAAGGCTGGAATCTTGAAGTGAGTGACCACCTTGAACTATCTTCATTCTGAAGTTGTTCTCCTAAGTAACTGAATCCATCTCTTCACCATTAATTAAATGGCACTTTCAAAAGGTGTCAGTTAAATTCTAAAAAGAAAAGATAATCATATCAAGGTGCTACCTTTTCATAAGAAACTATATTCGCTAACTTTATGTTCTTAAAGAATTATAATTAAACCTAGGAAGACCTGAAATGAATGCTGACGATCTATAATAACCTCATGGCCTTCTCCCAGCTGGGGCACCAAAAGATAACTCCTCTCTGTGAGAGTCCCACATAAGCCTGACGCTCTGGCATCGTTCACTCATTGATGTTTGAAATAGCCCAGTGAATTCACCCAAGGTACCTGATTTATTAAGAATAACAGACATCTTAAAGAGTCTTAAAAAGAGAATACCACGCTAGCACAACAGAGAAGACACATCCCAAAAGTCACCAACAGCTACCAGAGTCTACTGCTGACTGGCAGAGCACTGTTACTGTCACCTAAAACCTATAAAAGCATTCTTTTGTTCATCTACTGCTGATCTTTACAATTAAGTTTAATCCCAAATGTAATTAAAATGGGAGTGTTTGAGGCTAGCTGGTGGAGTGGTGGTTAGGGCAGCCAGATCCCACATGGACAACTGCACAGTTTGAGTCTTGGGCCCAGTGACTTGAAAAACATGCCAGGTGTGTGTGTGCACATGTCCCCAAATCCTGAAAGGTGAGATGGAGAACGGATTACGGCATCGCCACTCCCCTGGGGGTGCTTTCTCTCTCTCTCTGGTGAGCACATGTACCCTCTGGCAAATTGGAGGAAAAAAGGAGGGGCACTGTTTGTAACAAAAAATCCCACTGGAATGAAGAGTGGTCAACTGAAGTACCCAGAAATGCAGCGAGGCTCAAAGCAGATTCCGAATTCCACATAGGACACCACTTCAGATGGTACCGTTGGATTTACGTTAAAACTGCAAGCCCAGGTTAACACGTGTCCAGGGCAGAAAAATAAGATCTTCAGAAAAATAAGACTTTCATTTGAATTTCCCTTGTGCACACCAATCATCCCTGTCGGTTCTTACTGAAGTATCTACTCAGCTTAATGTATAGCTTGGGTAACACAAAAAACCACTCGCTCCCTGACGCAGGAAAGCACTGTCCTTTCTTTTGTTCTTAGTAAAAAATGCCTCCTACCAGTAGTGAAATCCACCTGCAGTAAAGACTCATCTAAAGAGCTATGGACGATGATCCCAACTTTGGCTAGTCCCTGTCTACCCGTGTCCCGTGTCTATGAGCCGGAGGGGACTGCTCCTGGACAGAAGGTGGGGTGGCGGACCTTAGGACGTGTCCTGGGACGGAGCTGGAGGGTCTTGGCTGTCAGGCTCTGGAGGGGGTGCAGGCACGGCTTCTTTCTTCTTGGCTGCCAGGAAGTCGTGAATTGCCCGTTCTATCTGTGGCCTGAAGATGTGGTTCAGTTTCGGGTCCACCACCTGAGAAATGATTCTGTCTACACCAGCTTCCAACATCCCTGATCTTAGAGACAAACACGTCATTTAGTTCCTTGGAGAGTCACCTTTAGCCCCAACACGTATCATGTGACATTTTAAAGCTGTCCAGCAGCTAGAGCTCCAGCCCTTTCAGGGACTCCGTTAAGGGCAATCCACTTGGCACACACGGCTCAAGCCACTGCATTTTCGCTTTCACTTTGGAGGGGCAACTCACAACAGCCACTACCTGTTATTTCTAATCCACAGTCTCATCCATTGTCACCTCAGCCTTGTGTAAAAGAATCAAACGAAACTAAGTGGACCATCCCAGAGACGAGGCACGAGTGGTAACACGGGAGGAGAGAAATTGATGCCACGTGGAGAGTGAGGACCTTAGTGACACCGTCAGAGCAGGAGCCTGGGTGGGGCTGCATTTCCTTCAATGTTTATCCTCTGAATAGCTGGGGCAGGAGGCAGTTCCAGCAGTGCCCTGGTCACTGTGTAACGCGGCGGGGCCGGCAGGAACTCAGTGTGGCCTTCGGCTGTGCCCGGCGGCTGCAACACACCTCACGCATGTCAAAGCTGGCAGGGAAGTCAGTTCTCGCTTTCTCTCTCTCTCTCCCTCTCACTCTGGCCTTCTCTAGTCAAATTAAAAAATAAAATAAAGTTAAATAAAATAATGATTTATTTAAAAAAAAGGGGGGGCCAGCAGGTGGCATGGTGGTTAAGGGTGCTGGACTCCCACATGACCAACCATGGTTCGAGTTCTGGAGCTGGTGCCTTGCTCTCTCGCTTTCTCTCTTCTCTCTCCCTCTCTTTCTCTCTCTCTCACTCTGTCCCTCTCTGGTCAAATAAATAAATACAGTTAAATAAAATAATTCTTAAAAAAAAGCAAACACAGCCAAGAAACAAACTGGTTCCAAGCTCCTGTAGGGTTAAAATGCACTCCCAAATTCTTTCTCAAGTACAGTGAAAAGTAGTCACAATTTACCATCTGTGCTCAACCCACCGGGGTAGGGTAACGAGGAAGACGATGACAGGGAGCACATCACATTGGAAGAGTTTGGGAAACGGCTCATCCAGGCTCAAACTGCATTGTCCTCAGAGGATAAAATATTCAAATGCTACCACAAGCACGTGGGCAGGTTCTACTTATTTCCCTTCAGAATTTAGTGTGGAACTAACCCCCAAGGTGACAGTGTGTGGAGCTGAGGCCTCTGGGAGGTGATTAAGTCACAGGGGTGGCGTCCTCACGAGTGGGAGCTGTGCCCAGAGAGCTCATGGGCTAGTCCTCCTTCCACTATGGGAGACGCAACGGCAGCCTGCAGGCTGGAAGGGGGCCGAGCCTGATGACGCAGAGGCCCGTCTCAGACTCCCAGCCTGGACACCCGTGAGATGTACCTGTCTGCTGCTTACAAGCCACCTCGGCTCCGGCACTTCATTAAAGCAGCACTCACACACCTGATCTCAGAAAACGAAGTACCGAGAGAGTGTGGTTCACTTTCCTGGAGATTCTAGAGAGCATGCGATCTCATCAGAAGCCTAAAACTAAAGTTGAAATGAACAATATAATGTGGTTACGAGACTTGTTAGTCATGAGCAGCTCACCAGTAGAACAGGTGTGCCCACCAGATGCAGAACTGGACCACAGCTCCCAGCTCACCAGTAGAACAGGTGTGCCCACCAGCTCAAGGCCTGAGCAGCCGGTCAGTGAGCTGATGCGCCAAGGGCCTGCAGTGTCTCATCTGGTGAAAGCACTTGATGGGCAAGCAGCAGGCTTCCCTTCCGAAACTCCTGCCTCAGGGGCCAGCAGGTAGTGTAGAGGTTAAGGCGCTGGACTCCCACATAGCTGAGTACAGTTAGAGTCCTGGACCTGGCGGCTTCAAAGTCACACTACATGTGTGTGCGTGCATGCCCAAAAATCGCAAGAGAATGGAGGACAAGGGATTGTGGCATGGCCGTCACCCTGGAGGGTGATTTCTCAATCTTTCTCTCTTTCTCTCTTGTCTCTGGCAAGTGCACACACCCTATAGCAAAAATCTCTCTAAAAAAATACAGAACAAAACTCCTGCCTCAAACTCAAAATGTTGGCAAGAGTCATGGAGAAATGTCCCACTCAGTGTTAAAGCCAAATTCACGTTTTCAGGTTAAATTCTAAGTCAACTCAAAAGCAAGAAAAAATGTATACAGGTGGTAAAACCATGAAAAAGAGCAAAGAAATGATCACCACAGAAGTTGGGAGAGGGGTCGACTCCTGAGAGAAGGCGGTGCGTGCAGGGCCGGGCGTTGAGATGCAGGACCTTCTACCTCTCAGCCTGCTGGGCCCACGGGGTGCTGTGCGGACTGCTAGGCTGCACTCTGCCCCGGGCACCGTCGCGTTAAAAGGATGTAAGGAGAAGTGTCCCGTGCACACTTTTAGAACGACACCTATGCTTGCT